TATTCGCGGGGAACACGTACGGCCCCGCGAAATTTTTTCACGGGTAAATTATTATCTCGGGAACCTGAATTGCACAAAACGCATGATCGCACCGGCTAGTCTGGTGCGCGTTACCATTTATTTTAAATTATTTAATAATTAGCGAATTGTTCTACAGAAGTCAAAGTGGGCGACCAGAAGCTGGCTATCAGATTGTGCTGTACTGGTCATACTACCAACTAATAAAATCGCCAGCTAAAGAATTGGACTATGGATTTTAGCTGATCCAGATATCCCAAAGTGTCATGAAATTAAATTGGGGTGTTCTTCAGAAAATCGTTCTTTTCATCGAAGCATATACCCCTATGCTTTTTAGCTGAATTTCATGCCATTTTGCAAAGTAACGAGCCACAACTGATCCAAGAACGAATGGGCAGTTTTACTCCCACTCCGTGTTTTTTTTTTTTTGCCAAATCAATTATTTTACGTGTCAAAAGGATTTTACCACATTATCCAGTCAACTATTTTCCCCACTACCATTCACTATCAAATTCTCTCCTTCAAGCCTCAAAACACATGGAATTCAGCCATGCTGAATTTCCTTCTGTTAGCAAGGTCCACTACTTCACAAGATGTGCTTTGGCCTACTTTCAGTCGCAAAATACCACTTCACAGCTCCGGCCTTCTCGTCAACTCTGTCAGATCGACCAATTTTGACTGGGCTTCTATGGTCCTTCCTTTTTATTCTATTATTATTGTGGATCGTACAGTTGCGTATAATATTTACCTGCCATGTCCATCCGTTTATGCAGTTATTAGTATCGGAAAGTGTAGCATTGCTGCTGGCAAGGTGCAGCGACAAGAGGAAAGAGGAATGGAACAGTCGACTATGTTTTTTTGATATTCGCGAAGAAGCCAAATTATACAACCTCATTTAAGCTAGCCGGTATTTGCATTGGGTGACTTCTGTGTTTCATCCCTGAACTGTAAACACAGACGACTAAAATAGTACGAAGCGGGGTGGGAATCATCAGTACAGTGCCCCATTTCGCTATGTGATTGGGGGACATGTTGGGTAGTTTAGAAGAGAAGAGAATGATGAAATATAGACAAATTGTTAGATTCTGTAAAAATAAAAAGTAAACTAACGGGCAAAAGGAAGGCTTCAGTTTTGGTTTCTTCGAGAGAGGCTCGCCGGAGGTTCTGTCGCTTTTGTAGTTTTCAGCTCATTTTGGCCAATACATATAGAATGAGTTTGTAATTTGTATGCATTACTTTACCAGCCTGTTTATGCTTAGAAGCCCTGTGTGATACATCGTCGAAGCCCGTATCTTTATCTCCGTTGAATATCAAAGGCGTATGGGAATAGCCCATCTGGTACACACTGCCAATCAATAGCAGTTGTCGGCTGACAAGTCGTCGAAGTTTTGAAAGCACAGTTTTTTATGCGTTTTTACATATATGCAAAAACACATATTGTGACGACCCCGGTGCGTATGAATGTATGTCTGAGAAAGCTGGGAATCTGTGATTTCAAGGGAATATTCCCTGTCCAAGTATAACGTGGATAATTAACTTCCCGAAATTTGAGGATCAGTATGTGCAAGAGGTTTCTAGCTAGCGGAATTTCGAGTGAT